TATTAAGCCATTCAAGCGGTTTTTTTCAGCTCAACCCATTCAGACAATGTACTTTACGATCAAACCCATTCTTTTCTGTACGTTTAGTGTTCCCAGCCCACGAATATTAAGCCTTGCCATAAATCCAGCTACTATCCACCTTAGCGCCTCAGCTCAGAGCCACTCCTAGCCTTGTTCGACACCGGTCGTGTGGGAATAAGGATGATTTTACTTGAATTTAAGGTGTTGGAAGGCGATATTCTGTTTGGCTAGGTAATTTTCGATAGGGTTACGTCACGGGCACCAGTTAGATACCAGACTAATTTAGATATCGGCCTTGTTTATTTGGTCGGCGCTGTATATATAGAGTCGTGTTTATGCGATGGGTATATTTTCGTGGGTTGGTATATTGTAAGCATTAAGCCGGGCTAATAATATGAAAGGTTTATTCTGAAAACATGTACAGGGTGAGTCAACGATAGAGTAAAGTCCATTATCTCATTTATTTCGAGGTTTACAAAAAAATGTTAAATCCAAAAGTTATAGGGAAGGTTAAGATACATATTTTAAAATTATTATAGAGTATACAGGGTGCTTCAAAAATGTGCGGCGGATATAACATATGATTTTTTAAATGCAACACCTTATTTTTTATTTTATTTTTAGATTCAGCTTAAAATTCTATAACTTTTTTATATATAATGTTATATACCTAAAATTAATAGTTTTCGTAATATTTAAATTTGTTTATACAAATGTTAAATTACAGTGTCGTAAAAAATTGTCAATGATACCATTGTGTCTGAAGTTGGAATACCAAAATTTGGCACGAGAGTTCTATAAAGATTAAAAAGAAGATATATGTTAAGATATTTTAGTTAAATGCTACAGGGTGTTCAAAATATATTTATGAATTTCAACTATTTAAAATTAAAAAATCTTAAATTTTTTAAATGGTACACCCTATATATTTTGATTTTTTCTGATAGATTTTGCAAAGCTCTTCAACTTTTATGAAGTATGTCATATACCTATTTTTAATAGTTTGCGATTTATTCCAATTTTTTTATTTTTACCCTAATTTTTAATACAATTACGCTATAACATCATAGTTACCGTGACAAAACAAACATATTTATTACTTATATTTAACAAGTAGTTTAATAATTAGTTACAATAGTTATTATTAGTTAAAATTAACTAACATTACTCAAATAAACTAAAATCGTAGTCGTGGATTTCTTGGTGTATTTCTATATTATGAAAGATGACATTTGGATTTTCCGTCGGGCCGAATAGCCACAGATTAGGGTAATACTAACTAGATTACCTAATTTTCGACTACTGATATTGAAATTTTCTCCGACATACAGTAAAGTTTTTTTTTCTCGTAGTAATTCTGGTTTATGTGTTACTACTGCCACGAAACTGTCCCATTACACACTGAAAATATTATAATATAATATAATATGAAAATATTTTCTAGATAATCGACATCTATTCTTATAGTACTTAGCAAAGTACTATATAATATATAGTACTGAACCAAAAAATATGTTTATTTTGGCTTGTTCGTGTATATCAGTCACATTGATTAATCCATTTTCAGGAAAATCTGAAACTATTACCTCTACCTCTACCATTTATACTTATTACAACAAATTAAACTAAAATTTACCTTTTGTTCTTAACTTGCTTAACAGACATATGAGATTTTGATAATAATTATTATTTTTTGACATGACAACTATGACGTTCTAGCGTAATTGTATTAAAGATATGGGTACAAATAGAAAAAATTGGATTAAATCGCAAATTATTAAAAATAGGTATATGACATACTTAATAAAAGTTGAAGAGCTTTGCAAAATCTATCAGAAAAAATCGAAATATATAGGTTGTACGATTTAAAAAATTTTAGATTTTTTAATTTTAAGTAGTTGAAATTTATAAATATATTTTGAACACCCTGTAACATTTAATTAAAATATCTTAACATATATCTTCTTTTTAATCTCTATAGAACTCTCATACCAAATTTTGGTATTCCAACTTCAGAAACAATGGTACCACTGACAATTTTTTACCACACTGCAATTTAACATTTGTATAAAGAAATTTAAATATTACAAAAACTATTAATGTTAGGTATATAACATTGTATATAAAAAAGTTATAAAATTTTACGCAGAATCTAAAAATGAAATAAAAAATAGGGTGTTGCCTTTAAAAAAACATATGTTATATCCGCCACACTTTTTTGAAGCACCCTGTATACTCTGTAATAATTTTAAAATGTGTATCTTAATCTTCCCTATAACTTTTGTATTTAACATTTTTTGTAAACCTCGAAACAAATGAGATAATGGACTTTACTCTATCGTTGACTCATTGACGAAGTTAATGACTAGGTCTTCTGTTGTATTTTGGTTCTTATTAAATATACAGGGTGTCCCAGAAATAAGTGCAAGTATTTTAAGGGGTCTTATGATCTTGATAAAAGAAACATATTTTCTCTTTATCGTTTTTCAAATAAGTTCAAAATAACAGAGTTATTTTACTTTGAAAATTTCCAAAAAAAAATGATTTTAAGCTAAAATTTTGAGAACCACTGGATCTTTTCTGGATTTTCTTTCTTGTGAATTTAATCTAATACCTATGTTGCCGTATTATCAAGAAATTATGGTTTTTAACTAAAAACTAAAAGAAATTCCTTTTTTTTTCGCGAAAAAGGCGTGTTTCTGGTGTTGAACTATACCACCAGTTAAAATACTTGCACTTATTTCTGGGACACCCTGTATGTAATGCCTACTTTTGAATATGTGCGAAATTTCAATTTTATTATGTTTTTTGACAGTGATGTCAATGACCCCTGTAACTGACATATTAATTTTGATAGATACCCAATAGATGAACCAATAACTGACACATTTTGTAAAATATAAAAACATATTTATTGAGTACCTAGTTAAATTTACATATTATGCTCCAACTATGCTTCGAATAGTTCGGGAACTGATAAGCATATCTACTAATTTGATTTTGAACTAAACTGGACAAATCATCTGCGCAAACCAATCAGTTACCGAACCGTCTAAAAACTACAAAAAATGGGACTTGGTAATAACACTACTAGTGAAACATAAATCAAATATAGTTTGCATGTTTTAAAAATTATGGGACGCGGAAGGCTTCTCTCTCATTGACTTTAAAAGGCTCTTCTATTATTTCCATAATGTCCTTAAACTCATACCAAAACATGTCTTTACATTACAAAGGCACTATTCTCTTTAATATTCCTTAATAATTCCGGGGAAATAATCATGTTTATATCTTATAATTACATAATTGCCAATAGCGAAATTTTTTTGCACTGAATTGGGAATTGGAGGAATTATATGGAAAAAGCATTTTTTTACGAATAATTTGGTACCACACACTTGGTATTTCGAGTCAAATTGTCGTTATGAACCGCATGTTATAATTCCAAATAAACCATATGCGAAGACGTCAAAAGTTGACATATATGATGTGTCATTCTCTTCAGAGTGTCATTTTCTATCGAATAAAGTAAAAAAATTCCGAGGGTGTCATTTAAAAATCAAAAGTTGTTCTCATTTCCAGTGAAACAGGAAGTGACCTAAAACAAGTGAATACGTCAATCAATCCTAATTTATGTCATATACTAACATACCAAATCTCGTTTTTTGATCTAAAAAAATAAAAAAGTTTTAGGGGAGAGCCACTTTTGAGACCCATCCGGTATAATACTTTGTTGATATGGCAGTTAATAGAAATAATAGACACAAATAATTATATTACTTTACTTTACTTCTACCATATAGGACAATAGCTGTTTTCATGTAGTTTATAACTTTTACTATTATCTTATAATACTGTAACCAAAATGTCAGAATTAAATGAAAATTAAAGCTTTTCAAGATAAGGCTATGTTAGAAACACTTACCGTTAAATATCTAATGGAACTGTTTAGTTGCTTGGTGAAATTTCTAAAATTTACTTACTTGTTTAATAGACAATAACAATATTCTATTGAATTTACAGCTCCTGTTGTGTTAGTAGGTAGAGTTTTACCATACAATGTCTATATGTTCTGTAGGGTTAACGTATAAAAGCGAGGGGCAAAGCGCTGCCAAAAATGGTGTACAATAAATACCAATTTTGGGAAAAAAGTACCAAAAATACCAAATTATTTCCAAAAAATACCAAATTAGTATTATTCTTTTTAGTATCTAAGGAATTTAAGATATTTGGAACTTTAGGACCTATTTTCAACCTATACATACTTATAATTGGGTTTTCTGAATTTCTATTTCATGTTTTTCGTCTCGATTTGTGTCTTTCTCCAGGAAGTTTTTTTATGTAGAAATTTATAAAGAAATTCACAACGACCAAACCGGTTAAAGACATTTGCAGATGTATTCTGTTGTGCTTTAAAAAATTGTACCAAAGTGGTACATTTTTAGTTTATAATGTGGTACGCGCTAAAAGTTGGGTGCGGCAACACTGCTAGAAAACAGTCGCTATAGGGCCGTAGACGAACGAAGTATGTAGCCGCGGCGGCTCATTTATGTTTGCCGCAACGGGGCCGGAACGTAGCGGATCCGAGGAAAAATGTACACCGACATTTCTTGGACGGGGCACGGACGCGTTCCGGCGAAGCTCGGACCGTGCTCGGCTTAGTATGAATGTATAAGTATAAATAACATTTGACAATGTTTGGCCGTGCCTTCACCGTCGCACGGCTCCGGCCCGCACGGTGTACCGTGAATCATCCTTAATCCACATCCACCGTTGCCAGATGTCCAACAAAATACCTGTTTAATACCAGTTTAATACCAAATAAAACCAGTTTATTACCAGATAAGTTTATTACCAAATAATACCAAATTAGTACCAAAAATACCAGTATTACCAAGTGCTCGTACAATAAATACACCAGCGGTTTGCCCCTCGTATAAAAGTGATGTGAAATATTAATAAAAACACTTTATATTTTTTAAACATTTACTTAATAATTGATTATTAACATTTTTCTTTACTTACACCTAAAAATACTTTACTTTACAGTTTTATACACAATCCAAACAACAATATTTAAACTTGTTGCAGTAAAATCGATAATAATTTATTTAAAGTTTTAAACAAAATAAATAAAATTAAGCTACTTAGGTATATCATAAATATAGTACAGGAATATTACATTGAGTACGGATTTTTATCTCCCAAAAATTAGCGAAATATGAAAAATGTACAAGAACTTTGCTAGAGTTTTTTTTTAAGTAGATACATACATACATACAGGTACTATAGATGAAAGTTAATTAAAAGAAAATAAGGAACATTTCAAGATTTATTTTACAATATTATCAAGTATTTTTTTTCAGTAAAAACCATTTCTTTGGTCATTTTAGTCCATGGCGTTACATATACAGGGTGACCCATCTCAATCCAGCAGGATATCACGCTTTTTTAATAAAAATAAAGGTGACACTATACGTAAAAAATTTCGTAAAATTTTCTTTCGGTCAAAAAAAAATGAGATTGTTTTAAATAAATTAAAATAAATAGATTACATGTACAGGGTGGCCCAGGTCATTCTAGCAGGATATCACACCTTTTTAAATAAAATAAAGGTGACCCTATACGTAAAAAAATGTCGTAAGATTTTCTGTCGGTCAAAAAAAAATAAAATTAAGATTTTTTCATTCTCTGTCGTGCATGGTTAGTTGCAAGGGTTGGTTTTCTTTGGGACTGGTATCTACCACTTCCACAGGGCTACAGGACCGTCTCAGTCTATCCTCTTCGATGTCCGATTCGTCGTTGACGTTGATTTCTTCGTCCGAATCGGAGTCGTAGGCTCGGAGTTTTTGGAGGTGTTCGTGAGTAAGGAGTGAGTTTGGAACAAGAGCTTTAAATGCGCTGTAAAGAAGAAAAAAATGTTTTAAGATAAATTATGTTTTTTTGAATATAATTATGTTTCCAAAATCCCAATGATGAGCGTCGAATTCGAGCCACCCTGTACATATACAGTGTGGCTCAGGTCACTCTAGCAGGATACCACACTTTTTTTAATTAAATAAAGGTGACCCTATACGCAAAAAATATCGTAAATATAAAAAATTATACAGGGTGTCCCAGAAATAAGTCCAAGTATTTTAAGGGATGGTAGATCTCGATAAAAGAAACATATTTTCTCTTTATCGTTTTTCAAATAAGTCCAAAATAACGGAGATATTTTACTTTGAAAATTTCCAAAAAAGTGATTTTTTGCTCAAATTTTGAGAACGACTGGATCTTTTCTGGATTTTCTTTCTTGTAAATTTAATCTAATACTTATGTTGCCATATTATCAAGAAATTATGTTTTTTAACTAAAAACTAAAAATTTTCCAAAAAATTCCGAATTTTCAAAAAAAAATTTGCGAAAAAAACTCATAGGCGTGTTTCTTGGTTTGAACTATACTGCCAGTTAAAATACTTGCACTTACTTCTAGGACACCCTGTATAGAATTAACTCACCTATTTTCTCCGCCCATCTGCAGCAAAAGCTGATGCTGATGCGAGCCCACTGGCTGTCCAGCCGCCCCCAAAGGCGAGGTAAGGGGCGACCCAGGGTCGGAACCTTTGTAGTGTGGCGAGGGGGTGAGCCGCCCCCCTGCAAAGAGCGACGCGGTGGGATTGTGGCCGCCCCCGCCACCCCCCGGCGACGACTGTTTGAGCAGGTTCATGCGCTGATGGCGGCGCCACTTGGCTCGTCTGTTGGAAAACCAAACCTGCATTAATCAACACGAAACACGAATTATTAGAATGAAGCAAGAAGAAGAAATTAATTTTCAATATACAGGGGACATCAAATAATATTCTATAATAATACTTCTACAAAATGTACTTTTCGACAGGGTGGCCCATCGAAAACGTTCCGCAAGGCATAACTGCCAGGGTATTTATTTTTTCAAAAAATCCAAAAACGCGTCAATTTTGTTTGTGAGGGGGACAACTTTTGCCCCAAAAATGATTGCAAAATATTCAACCCTCTAATCGGGGGTGTCATCCCCCAACTTTTTTTAAATGGAAAGGGGGGTCAAGTAACACCGCTACTTTCAACTTTCTATTCTCTATATTTCCCCGCTTCGTTTTTGAGAATCGGTCGAGTCGTTGAGAAAATATGAAGGATTGAAATTTGAAAAGTTTATTTAAGCATTTATCAGAGTAAATGATAATTAAGGATAAATTCGACCAATTTGCTGCTTTTTCTTATTATTTCTAGATGTTTACGCATTTTTTCACTTGCCACAACGTTGAACGATCAGGTGCGGTAGTTGCTAGATAGCTGTTCTGTGACTTGTACGTTGAAGTTCTTCTCAATATCGTTAAACTCACCCACAATAGAATTTCCAAAAATACCAGCCCACACGTTTAATTTCTGAGGGTTTTGTGTGTACACCTCGTGAAAAACCCTGGGATTGTCCTCAGCCCAGTACCGACAGTTGTGCCGATTAACTACACCGTTCAAAAAGAAAGAACAGGGTGTCCCATTTTGGTTGAAATCATACGGTATCTCCGTTATTAGAGAAGATAGAAGGGTGCGGTTTGCACAAACCTGTCTCACTTTTTTGTCAAACGGAAGATGCCGTAAACAAAATTTTCATAGCCCTCTTCGTTTCCGAGCTACAGGGTCGTTTTGAAAATTTTGCAATTTGGGACACCTCCTGTTTATCGAGAAGGTGAAAACTGTTTATTGTAGAACTTTTTGCGTAGAATACAGTGGCGTAGTCTGTTTTTCTACCAAAAAAATATTTTTGGAAATATGAACTAAAGTTATGTTTTTTTAAAAGGAACACCCTGTATATTTATAAATCATATGATCTGTCTTGCCATAAGCTTCTCAAAAATATATATCACTCTATATTTATCTTCACTATTTACTGCAATATTTAAAAGTTTTTATTAAAAGATCATATTTATTAGTAGGCCATGATTAATAATAAAAGAAACTAAAGAATTATTAAGTATACTGCTATCTGTCTCTTGTTTTATTTTGGGAGCCGCTAATAAATTCATTATATATTAGGGGAACTTAACTCTCTACCGCTATTTGTAAATCTTGGAATACGTGTATACGTAAGAATAATCTATCGTATCGGAAATTTTAGATATTCCTTTAGCTAATTTACGTGAAATATACTTTCAGCAAGATGGGGAACATTCCCCCCCATAACTATGGAAATATTAGAATACTATTAAATTATTATTTTTCAAATCAATGAATTGGAACCAATGAACGCATATTGATAGCCTCGATTCCCGGATTTCGCCGTTCTCGATTTCTGATTTTGGGATTTTTGAAATACGAAATATATCGTGGGCACTACAACAATGTCGAAAACCTGAAAAATGCTTTAATAATTCAAGATTTAGATATTTGCAAACCCATCCCGTTATAAAAAAAAGAAAAATATATTCACAGTTTCAGTGGTAACAGTTATTTCAAAAGTAAAATATATCAATCCCAAATAAATTTTAATATATGTATGACTATTTTAGTAAATATTTCATTTTGATTTTTTGTTATTTATCACAGCCTACTAATAAGAAAATGATATATTTTAAATATTGCAGTAAATAGTGAAAATAAATATAGAGTGATATATATTTTTGAGAAGCTCGTAGCAAGACAGATCATATGATTTATAAATATACAGGGTGTTCCATTTGAAAAAACATAACTTTAGTTCATATTTTCAAAAATATTTTTATGGTAGAAAAACAGACTACGCCATTGTATTCTACGTAAAATGTTCTACAATAAGCAGTTTTCGCCTTATCGATACCTTTAACAATAACAGAGATACAGGGGGTGCCCCAAATTGTAAAATTTTTGAAAAGACCCTGTAGCTCAGAAATGAAGAGGGCTATGAAAATTTTGTTTGCAGCATCTTCCGTTTGACGAAAAAGTGGGACAGGTTTGTGCAAACCGCACCCTTCTATCTTCACTAATAACGGAGATACCCTATGATTTCAACCAAAATGGGACACACTGTACACTCATCCGAAAAACACACATTAAATAGGAAATTATTATCATTTGCCACTCGTTCACTCATAGTTTCACAAAATTGCAAGCGACGATCAAAATCGTCTTCGTTGAGTTCTTTTTTGTACCAACTGAATTTTGTACGGGTGGAACTTGTGTTTTTTTAATACCCTTTGGACACTTGTACGATTCCCGCCGGTCTCATTGGCTAATTTTCTTGTACTCAGAATACTGTCCATGGCAACTTGGCCCAATACGAATACCTCCATAGCTTTATTTACTACAGGATTTTCCCTCTGCCTCTTTTTATTCATAAGGGAACCAGTTTCGCGACATTTTGCTACTAACTGGCGAACAATTTTGCCATAAAGGTGTTTGTCAGGATGGCGTTCATTGAATATCTGCGCAACCCTATTGCAAACATCTAGAAATAATAAGAAAAAACAGCAAATTGGTCGAAGGAATTTATAGAGAATAGAAAGCCCTTTTCATTGCGGTACCACTTGACCCATTTGAAAAATATCGGGGGATGACATCCCCGCTTAGAGGGTTGAAGATTTTGCAATAATTTTGGGGCAAAAGTTGTTTCCCTCACGAACAAAATTGAAGTGTTTTTGAATTTTCTGAAAAAAAATTACCCTGGTCGTTATGCCTTGCGGAACGTTTTTTCGATGGGCCACCCTGTATATGTCACTGGATAGTTTCTCAAAATTTAGAAAAAATAATCACCGGATATCACTGAACAAGATTCTTAATTGTATTAATGAAATTGATGTCGGAAGACTATTGAGGATTCGTCACGAATTTAGCTACAATAGAGAGCACTGCTCGGTTTTTCGGTAAAATTGTGTGCCCAGCCAATTAAGCGATTCATTACGGTGTTTAGAAAATTTTCGGCCATGTCATCCGTCTGGAGGATTTGTTAATTAATCAACCTAAATGTCTTGGAAGTCACAATAATGGCGTTGACTTGATACACAAGGTTGTGTAGGTTAAGAGCTCGAAAAAATGTTTTTAACTGACTAAAAATTGTTATTTTTTATACAAGATGATAAAATGGTATTTTATCGCCGACCGAAAAGATTAATCTGTCTGTCTGTCTGTCTGTCTGTCTGTCTGTCTGTCTGTCTGTCTGTCTGTCTGTCTGTCTGTCTGTCTGTCTGTCTGTCTGTTCGTCTGTTCGTCTGTTCGTCTGTCTGTTCGTTCGTTCGTTCGTCTGTCTCGTCTGTCTGTCTGTTCGTTCGTCTGTCTGTTCGTCTGTCTGTTCGTTCGTCTGTCTGTCTGTCTGTCTGTCTGTCTGTTCGTCTGTCTGCCCTGTCTGTCTGTCTGTCTGTCTGTCTGTCTGTCTGTCTGTCTGTCTGTCTGTTCGTCTGTCTGTCTGTTCGTCTTCGTTCGTCTGTCTGTCTGTCTGTTCGTCTGTCTGTCTGTCTGTCTGTCTGTCTGTCTGTCTGTCTCGTCTGTCTGTCTTGTTCTCTGTCTGTCTGTTCGTCTGTCTGTTCTGTCTGTCTGTCTGTTCGTCTCGTCTGTCTGTCTGTCTGTCTGTCTGTCTGTCTGTCTGTCTGTCTGTCTGTCTGTCTGTCTGTCTGTGTAAATTTTCTTAAAAAATAGAAAAAGAACTAATATATTACCTGAACTCTAGCTTCAGATAACGACGTTTTCGACGCTAGTCTCTCCCTGGTTGACACACAAGGGTAATGGCTCTTCTCAAACTCTTTCTCCAACTCCTCTAGCTGATCTGGACTAAACGTAGTCCTATTTCTTCTATAATACCGTAAAAAAACAACAAAAAATCAATTAGAACAACTAAAAAACCTTAAAAAATAATATGGTATTACCGAAATTTGGGTTGTTCCGAACTATCCAGACTGGAGTCGTCCTTATCCAGTCCTCCAGGAGGGGAATTGAGGAGGTTAGAATCTGGATGAGGCGACGTACTTGAGGAAGGGCTACCACCTATAACAGAGGGATTTGTAGAACCGGGAGGTTGAAATCCTAAGGGTCCTGAAAATAACGATAACTTATTTCTTTTTGAGAAAAAAATTATACAACAAAGAAGTTTTTTCACTATACAGGGTGGTTCGAAATGTATTCCGGAAACTTTGGCAACATATTCTGCAGGTAAAAATAAGTAAAAAAGTTTGTATAAATGTATGTCGTAAAATCATTACTTTCAGGATATACAGGGTGTAGAAGTTTCATTTTTATTTCGTTTTTTTCTAAATAATTTATGAAGTAACGTCAATATTTGGATGAAAATTGGTGTCTAGGAGTTTTTTGACATGAGAAATTTGATTTTGGTGGTAATATGTCTCCTATTTGTAGGGGGCGCCACCTACATGTGTTTTAACTGTTTTGAAGAGTAACAACTTTTAGTCCGTACCTGTATAAAGCTACTGAGTAAAAAAATATACATTTTCGTGACTTTTTACGTAAAAAATGTTTCTCTGGTAAAAATGGCTACGAGCAACTGTTCTCAAGATATTTGGAGTAGAAGTAGTCTGTACATGTCATTATTGACAAAAAATAAATATGTTGAGTAGATAATAGTTATTTGACTGACATGATAAATTTGAGAACTTTTTATTTTTTTAAATTAATCATAAATAACATTAAATAAATTAATCATAATTTAAATTAATCATAAACTTTTGGCACAAAAACATTTCAAATTTATGATTTCAGTATAATAACTATTTAGTCAACGTGTTTAATTTATGTCAATGATGAGAGGCATTGATAATTTCTATTCCAAATATCTGTCTGTACAAGTAGGAGTCATTTTGATATCAAAATCAAATTTCTCATATCAAAAAACTACCAGACACCAATTTTCATTTAAATATTAACGTTATTTCAGAAATTATTTGAGAAAATCGAAATAAAAATGAAACTTCTATATCTTATATCTCAGAAACGAAGCATTTTAGGACATTCATTTAAACTTTTTTACTTATTTTTATCTCAGGAATATGCTGTCGAAGTTTCTGGAATACAGTTCGAACCACCCTGTAGAATAATTCCAAAAATATTTAATGAATCTAGCAGAATCTAGAAGTTGAAAGATAAATTTTTTATAAAATTTATAAATCAGAGCAACAGGGAATAGTTATAGTTAATTCTTAATTTAAGTGGCATTTATTTCCTTTGTAATAATTCAGTAAAACGACAAAAGAGTAATGGTAAAATTTTTCAAATATAATTATTATTAAAAACAATCTCTAGATTTTTCGGCTAATAATACATTTAAGTAATAATTATAAACTAAAATAAATATTTATTAAACTAATAAATATAAGTAATAATATCGAAAAAAAGGGTAAAAGAAAAACTAAAAAAAATCTAAAACAGATCAGGCAATAAAGATAATTTTAAATTATTAGTTAATGCTTATTTTAAGTGATTTTTTTTTATTTTCTTACCATTGGGCCATAATGGCGAATGCCACGGAAATGCAGCAGCAGCGGCGTAGGGATGGGGAGGGTACAGTCCATAACCAGCGGCACGCGCAAACTCTGCAGCAGCCCTTTCAGCAGCCCTATTTCTTAATATTCTATTAATGCTGCTCACGGAGGGCGCAGTGGCGTTCGTACAGACTCCTGCAAGAAAAAAAAACACAATTTTATTTCTCCGAAGAAAAAAATTTGTCTGATTTAGCGAAAATTTCTAAATTTCTTTGTTCAAATTTTTGTAGCTGTAATTTTAATGGTTTTCTAAGCAATCTATACTAATATATAAAATTCTTAAGTGACTCACTGATTAATCACGATCTTGCTCAAACCACTATCGATTATATTAATTGGTCCTCTTTAACAAATATTTAAACAGTTTTTTTATTTTTTAATGAAATAAACGAATTATATCAACAATATTAGTATCTGTACTCTTTAAAAATTTGGTACATCTTTAAAAATAATCTAAAATGTCAATAGTCCATGGGTATATTGATAAATAAGTTCTAAATTACAAGAGAATGCATTTTCTACGGAAACTTAAAGAGATAGGTAAAAAATGGTATAATATAATTTCATAGACAATTAAATTGTGCATCTGATTCTCGTAAAATATACAGGGTGTTCCATTTAAATTAAACAAGTTATTGCCGTTTGAAGCTAATAATTATTTAAAATAAATTTTTAGACACTCTGTATAAGGTAGTATTATTTTTATTATTGCAACACAATAACTGATCAGTAAATAAACTTCAGTAAATATTTAGTATTAAAAACTTTGATACCCTTGGAGAAATGAAGCCTTAAAATTTTTACTGCAATTTCACAAAATTGAAAATATTTCAAAAACGGTAAGGTTTAAGTATAATAAACCTTAATCAAATTTACCTTTATTTTAATCGTAGAAACTAAAAATGTAATAATATACAGGGTGTTCCATTTAAAAAAATACAACTTTGATATTTTTTACATATTCGGGACACTCTCTATCTTGTAAAAATATTTTTAAATTGTAGCTCTAATAGTCCTTCAACGAACCCAAAACTTACAATTTGTAAAAATCTCATCGTTTAGCTACAATACTCTGTGTCGTATGTGGTGAACAACCCTGTATATGTTAGCTCAAAACAAATCAATGTATATTCGTTAGTATATCTATAAGTTATAACTCTTTATCTTTTACATTGTAAACATATTAAGGTGTATACGATTCAAAATCACTCTTGTAGTGTCCTCCAGTAAACAATACACTTAAAGAACTATAAGTCTTTGTAAACATACACTTAACTTTTCTTCAAAGTTGTTAGGTACTCAAAACAAATATCGTACTTAATGTTAGTACCTTCTTTGCAGATTTACAGTCATCCTTTATACTGTCTTTCAATTTTCTCATTGTCGAGACTATAATTTTTACCCAATTCAGAAAATCGTATACTCATATAATATACAGTTTATATAAAATTATTCGTAGTTTATATTAGAGATCTAGAGGTGTATTTTGTTGATTTATACATTGTAACGTGTACGTTCTGGATTTTTTATAATAATAGAAAAATTCTTATAATATTTGAACTGTTATATCGACATATTTTTAAAATATCGATATTGACAATATCGATTTTTACATTATATTTTTTTGTCCCTATATACCGCTATAATTAGACATAAAATCCATGTAGCTGAAACCTTACAAAGTGTGAAGTTCAGTGGCTTAACTTTGTACTGGTCGTGTTCTAAATGAGATTTAGTTTGTTTAATCAGATTTATACTTTTTTTAGTTGTATATCTCTATCTATACTGGTAGGTAATTATCAGTTTGAGGTCAAACAGTGTATTGATTTAATTGATGAAGTGTATATTGATATGCGATATAATGTAGGGGTTTCGCTAGTTGTAAGCAATCCTTTGTAGAAAAATAAAACATTGTACATATATTTCCCAAACGGTGGGCAGTTCATAGTAGTATACAGGGTCATTGAAATGGTGTAAAAAAATCAGGGGGTGATAGTACTCTTAAAAATTGTTAAAAAAGTTCCTATAAGTATAGGGCGAAAAATGCATATTAAGGGAGTTAGGAGCACTGAAAGAGTGAATTTAAAAAACGGTTGTTTTGAAATTGCAGGCTTAAAAAACGAGATAAAATTTCGAAAAAAAATCCTCTGCCATAAATTTTGACCCTAAATCAAATGGTGATACTGAAAAATTATTTGGAAAAGCGAAAAGGGTAGTTTTTAAAATGGTAAGGGGTTATTTCGTGAATAACTTTTTTGAGGTTATTTTTTTTGCAACGTCGCACAGTGCTTCGTCCCATGGACAAAAATCAAAAAATAAGTTAAAATTTACTAATATCTGAATATATAATTTTATACTTATAGCAATGTTCAACCATCCTGTATATTATTTTTCATAAACAGCGTTTTTGTTAGCAAATATTTTCACTAAAAATAAATTTTGCGATCATTATCTCATCAGTGAAAAGAATCAACAATTCTTAGTAGTTCTGTATATTATGGAGTTAAACGGGTACGTACTTAATTGAAAGCCACTTATGGATATTATGTTGTTCAAAAGATTGTTAAACAAGGCATGTACTTTAAATTTATTTCTAAACAAGTTCGTGATTGTTTAGTTTTTTATTTATTTTTAAGATGATTCTAAATGGGTATAAAAATTTTACGTTTTCAAACTTCAAAAAGGCATTTAAAAAAAACATATCAAGACATATCGTATTTATTGAATATTTTTGTTGCCATATGCATACACTTTTAATTTTTGTATAGTTCACCTGCGTCTGCTTGCGACGAACTTTATTTTATAATACTTTTCCAGATGGAGTAAAATTGAAAAGCAATGCCGATCTGGCTAATACTTGGCTTGATCATAAGGACAAGAACTCAAAATTATTTGTATTTCAGAAAATATGTTCTTATTAGATATTGATGAACCTTCCAGTCAAATGAGACACCACTTGTGCCTGAAAAAGTCCACTATGTTGGAGCGAAACGTCGCATAAAAAAACTGTCCATCTTTCAATTTATTATAAAATCTCATACCCAAGAAAAGGAAAAAATAATATATGGATATGGTTTATTAAAGAGGTAACAATTAACATCCGAACACCTCATACCGACAAAATGAACAGTAACAACGCGAAAAAGTAACATATTAGAAAATGATGTACAGAAATATCTTATATGTGAGGATATTTCATCTACCTGTAATTTGGATACTATAAATTTGGAAGATTCTGTCAGCAGTGATTCTTCTGAATCAGAGTAGTTACGATCTATACATTTTGTTGTTCTAAAGTAAATTTATAGTATCATAAGTTTTCTTTTTAATTAAATATAGCATTAATGTTTCTTTTTCATTAAAGAAAAACGTTTTTATCTTATATTAGGCTTATATTGTAGGAATCATGTTCTAATGTTATTTCAATTCTTTTTTATCCCATTTTCATACTATAACTTATTATTTGCTTAGATGGAACACAGCTCCAACATTATTATTATTTATAAGATTTTTTTTCATAAACGTGGGACTAAGAACATCATCATTTAGTACAATGAGAGTACTTATCATTTGTGTCAAATAAACCTAGTTTGAATAAATTGCTTACAATAAAAGAGAAGTTTTGGATTTTTGTCCTCTAGAGCCATATGTTCGAAGCACTGTGCGTCGGTTCATTTTTTGAAAACTACATACTTTTTCCTACAAAAAAGGTACTCTTGTTGTACATCGCCCAGAGCGATGGTTTTCGAGAAAATGAAAGACAAAGAGTTTGCTCTAATGGGTTGCTAACTGATTAATCAACATAAACTTATGAAAGTTATGGCGGTTCAAAAGTAACCAAGTAGTTATTAAATAATTCAAAAGGAAATAATCAAAAAGGAAATACCACTCCTGCAACTCCCAGTGGACGATATGCCAAGAACGTACAACTTTGACAAACATGTCAATGTAGTATTGAGCAATAAGAAGGATTGGAAGAGCGAAACGCTTGCCCAGCAGTTAAAAGACCATACCATAACTTGGTATACTGATGCTTCCAAAACCAATACGGGAACAGGGATCGGAGTGTTTGGGCCGAGAGCTAATTACTCTGAACCAATGGGCACTTACCCTAGTATCCTACAGGCAGAAATCTACGCTATCGGGAGATGCGTACAACTTATCTTAGATAGGAACTATCGGAAAAAAGAAATAGTCATCTTGTCTGATAGTCAAGCAGCGTTAAAGGCGATCAACTCAGTATCAATCAATTCGAAATTGGTCAAAGAATGCATAGAGAAGCTGAATAAATTAGGCAAAGAAAACAAAGTCCTCCTACACTGGGTGCCTGCTCACCAAGGGATAGAAGGCAATGAAAAAGCAAATAATCTAGCTAGGAAAGCAGCGAACACTCCACTAACTGAACCAGAACCGTTCTGCTTTCCAAGTGGTAACCAACTCAAGGCGGAACTCAAGAACTTGGAAGATTCCATCCGCAACCTGGAATGGAAATTTTCCAATGGTCTAAGACACTCGAAGAAGTTTCTGAGGGCTTATGATGAAGAAAAATCACAGATCTTCCTGGGTCTGAGTAAGAACAATCTTCGGATTGTCACGGGGTTTTTAACAGGACACTGTCTCCTCAACGAACACCTCAGTAGATTGAAACTAAGAAGAAACGGCGAATGCAGATTCTGTGGGGAAGATGGGGAAACACCAGTACACCTCATCACTGAGTGCGCCGAGACGACAACCATTCGTGCCATGAATTTTGGTACGACTGATATTGGAGATGGAGAACTACCCTCTATAAAACCGTCCCAGATACTGGCTGTTGTCAAAGCCCTGGGACTGTATGATGAGTTATGATTCAAGAAAGAGGGGGACACAATGGATCTGTAAGGTCGAAGTGATTAACCCCCCTCCCACTCATTCTAAATTCTAAAAAAATTCTATTAAATAATTAATTCGAAAATCAAAATTTCATGATTTTTAAAACATCTTATTGCTTTAAAAACGAAATAAACCAATTACCAAAATTCCTTATTAAAATAATGCATTCCTTAATTCATTCATAGTAAATGTTTAAAGTGACCACCATTCATTTCAATGCAGACATCTGCTCCAAGATCTGCGTACCCTGTGGAATATCCTTG